TGGGGAACAACAGGGTTCAGAGGAACTCTTGGTTGGAGATCTGGGTCTTCCACGCATGGTGAGCTTTGTTCGCCAAGTCACAGACCTCCCTGAGGCAGTTTCCTCTCTACAGAAAAGGCGAGGCGGTCCCTCCCCATCTACCAGGGAAGAGCTTAGACACTAGGCTCATTGCCTCCTCCCTGGCCACCCCTCAGGGCTGCCCTAGTTTCCAGCCCCTACCCCTCTACCACCTGCCCCCCCACAGCATGATCAATGCCGACTTCTGTGCTGGGGCCGTGCTTATCTCCTTTGGGGCCATACTGGGCAAGACGGGGCCGGCTCAGCTGCTGCTCATGGCTCTGCTGGAGGTGGTGCTGTTTGGCACCAACGAGTTCCTGCTCCTTAGTCTCCTGGGGGTGAGTCTGGATGGGGAGGAGGCTGGCCAGGGCCAGGCCCTCAGCAGGGAGAGCATGGGGTGGGGGGCTGTGGAGGTGGGGGCTGCCCCTCCACCCCCGCTCTGCCTCCACAGGTGAGGGATGCAGGAGGCTCCATGACTATCCACACTTTCGGTGCCTACTTCGGGCTGGTCCTCTCACGGGTCCTCTACAGGCCCCGGCTGGAGAAAAGCAAGCATCGCCAGGGTTCCGTCTACCATTCAGACCTCTTTGCCATGATTGGTGAGGCCTGCCGAGGCGGGGTGGTGGGGTGGGGCCGGTTCCAGGTGCCCCTAATGTTGGGCCAGGGAGGACCATCTCCAGGCAAGGGGTCAGGGTGCTGCTGCCGTCCTGGGGGTTCTGGCTGGGAGCTCCCTTCCAGGTTGGGATCTTCTGTGAGAGTCCTGAGATCTGTGCTCCTAGTTCTCAACAGTTTTATGACAGGTTCTTAGAACCCATCCCTGGGGGAAGCACCTGCCCAGAGCTCCGTTCCCAGCGGTGCTTCTAAATCTAAGTCTAACCACACCAATCTCTGTTTAAAACCTCCAGGGCTGCTGCCCACCCCAACCACCTGTTGGAAACCAGATTCCTCAGTGTGGCACACCCGCCCTGCAGGGTCTTGGCCGATACATAGGCTCCGGCCACACTCCTCTCCCCAGCTCTTACCTCCAGGCCTGGGCCCCTGGTGCTGCACCTTCACCAGCAGCTGTTTCTCCTAAGCACATACCTCTGCTTCGGCCTCCGGCTCTTTTCTCCACCTTCACACACTGTCAGAAAGGAAGTGGATATTTTAATTTTTCGTGGACAGTATTAGTGAATAGTGCCTGTGGGTACATTAAAAAGTCTGGTTGTATTCCTCGCTTACCACAGGGTTTGTTAGGAAATAGAGCGTGTGGGACCCCAGGTTAGCTGAGGCCTCCTTCTTGCTTTTGAGACCTGGATAAGTTTGGCTACAAGTCCAAAGCTTTCTCCAAGATTTCCAC